TAATTTATGCACTTCCTTTAAATTCGGACTCTGTCTCATTTTTTTATAAACAAGATTATTATCTTCTTTAATTGCTCTTAAAACAGTAGATTTTGATACTGATAAATCTAAATCAGCTTTAATTTTAGAAATAGTTATGGCTTTATTAGAACCCATACTTTGAATTTTTTTAACTGTTCTAAAAGAAAGAGCTCTTTTTCTTCCTTTTTTGCTAGTAATTTTATTTACATTCTTTAAAGTCAGGTAATTTCTAATTGCGGTCCTGCTTCTGTCCAATATAGCACTTATTTGCTTAATATTTTTTCCTATTTGAAAATAAGCATCAATCTGTCCTTTTTCATACTCACCTAAAAATTTTCCTTTGCTCATTAGGGGATAAACAATTTTTTTTAAAAAAACATCAAAACCATCATGCCCATGAGGCTTATTGAAGCAATTTAAAATGACTTTTTTAAATCAAAAAATATTAAATAACAGATATTATTATTTTAAGCATGTGTTTGTATTTCAAAATTTGAGTTAAATGAGACGTCCCGTTTAATTGTAAGACTCATTATTTATTCTAAGCGTTTTGTAGTAGCTTATATTAGAAAAATAAAATCATGCAGTAGTTTATTGTAACAAAATAAAACAAATAATATATTTACAATTCTATAAAACGTGTTTTTGGGGAAGTGTCTTAAGATTTTGGCTCATCTCTTAAGACAAAAAAATCCAAAAGCCAGATTAGACATATATAAAATAAGATTAAATAAAAGTTATTTTTTATTATTTTAATTACAATGTTTAAACACAAATAATGATTTTAGAATTGTATCTTATTTGATTTTGCACGGAAAATTTTTTAGGTGTCTTAGGATTTTGACACGCACTGTACAACAAAACCTGTAATATTTTTTATGTAACAATTCCATAAAAATCTCTAAGTTGTATTTAGTGCTTCAAATGAAAAACTAAAACAGATTTTCACAATTTTTAAAAAAGAATGTTTTAAAAATAGATAAAAGTTCAGATGATAGATAAATAAGCTTATGCTTTTCCGTTAAAAACAGGAATATAAATACGATATATTCTCTTTTTCTCAATCTGCGTTATGTCTTTGGGCTTGTATGTATAGTTTAAAAGTATAATTACACTCTTAATCAATAATAACATTAAATAGTCACTATTTATTATTTAAATTATTTAATATAATTAAAGGGAAATGAACGAAAATATTGTACTGTGCTTACTGAAAAAAACAAAATTTTGTGTCAACTTTTCTTAATAAAAAATACAAAGAATTTTACAAATTTTTAAAAAGAAGGGTAAAAAGTAAATCAAAATTTGCCTTATATTTTTATAATATTGTGGAGTAGATTAATAGATATAATACCCTGCTAAAAAACTTAACTTTTTAAAAAAATTTTGCTTTTTATAATATTATGTGTGTAATATAAACATTACCACCCCAATTTTTTTGTTTTCTTTCTTTATTTTTATTATATATTTGTCAATATTATTGCGTGTCATGAGTAATACATATATTAAACAAATAAAGTATAAAAAAAATTGAATAAACAAACAATTTAGGATACTACCAATAAAGAGAAAAATGCCGTAGACAATCACAACTCAACATCAATAACTTTTCTTAAACCAAAACTTATACCAATTTTATCAAATTGGACTACAAAAATAGGCCCTAGAACCTCAAGTATCCTTAAGGCTTATCTTGCAACTGTCCACATTCCTGATGAGTACCCATTTTATGTTAAAAAAACGTGGACAGTCTAATATATTTTCAATATTATGACCGTTTAATTTCAGTACTAATTACAAATATTATTTTATGT